CTTAAGACTGAAAAATGTCGACCAAAGAAGTGGGTATCTCGAAGTACTGTTTGCCAGCAATGTTAGGACCCAAGAAATCTGGAACAAACGAACCAACAAACATATAGAATAGAACAGTGCATGCTCACAGCCACTAGTTCAACTCTGTCACATTTTAGTTAAAGGTGAAAGCTTGTCATCCTTCGCCTCACTGCGGCCGTGGCTCCTTTGTTCTCAGTTTCCAGGGTATCTTGGCAGAGAAACTCGCAAAAGCAGATCGCACTGAACTCTTGCCTGAGTCGGAATTGTCCCTGGGCACTACTACATGTTGTGGTTGTGACATCTCTCCCAGCACGATGTCTGCAACGCGAGGCGTGGCAGTAACAGAAGCGGCGTGCTGTTGCGGGTGCGCTTGTTGCTGTGTAAATATATCCTTAGAAAGAATGGTCCCTCTGGTTGTCTTCCTACTAATATACGACAGCGTATCCGTCCTGCGTGAGGAAGCAGACGGAATCTCGTACAGCTGACGGCTCAGGCTGCCCTGGTGGCATTTTTCTCCTCCTCGGCGGACCACGGCCGTGCTCAGGTCCTGGCGCTGGGTAATGGCAGCAACCTCATCCATTAGCGCGCGTTGGTAGTCGTTCAGTTTTTCTTCCAGCATTGCTATCTTCTTGCGGCTGATGTTGTATTTCTCGACTGCCAGGCGGGCCTCTGCTTCTGCCGCCTCTGCTTGCCGTATTGCCCCGGTGAGCCTGGTGTTGAGGGCGTCGAGTTTTTGTTTGATGAGGGTTATGTGATCGTATGTCATGATTAGACCAAGGACAGATATAAATGCAATAGCTGTTGTTATATCGCCGAAGGTCAAAGGGCCCATGGTGAATGGGGAGCGGTTTTGGTGTGTTGGAGAGCGTAAACGTAAAGCCTTTTGGATCTCAGGGGAGCGGAGTACAATTGAGACGGCCACAGATCGAGAAATATCATAGACACATAATGCAAAGAAGACCGAGGCAGGATGCATACAGTATACCATAGGTGGAGAGTAGAGAGAGAGAGAGTAAAATCAACAGCAAGAGGGGGAAGTATGAGGGTACCTGGGAATGTACCCCCAGGTATACGAATGCACTATGTTCTTTTGGCAATTGCATTCCAGCTGGCAGCAATCAGGAACACAATCTAGGCCACAATTTCCTCGATGGATAGATAAAGGACTGCCGACATTTCTATGTGATTTCGTCCGATCTTGATTTGTGTTGGGCCTGAGCAGGTTGGCTCGCACGCATAGGCCACGGGAATATGGGAGATCTCGGCTTCATCATTCCTATTGACAAACAGGCATAATAGTAGGTATCAGTCATCTGGAATTTGCGCACGAGAGCTATCTTGGTATCTTCTCCCTTTATACAATGTATCCGCTGCGAATATCCTGTATATTTGTAATTTATTGTGGTTGATTTAACCTTGCAGCCTCCAGGGTTACTTTTGGCTTCTTTAGCGGCCCAACACCTACCGAGCCAATCAAAGCCATTTCTGGAATATCTTCAAAGGGACTCGGATACATATGATATACCCCTACTCCACGTGCGTTGTATACTATGATGCATGTTCGAGAGGTATTATTTTTTTTGATATCGGCACATATGTATTTGTTATAAATTGACTCATTGGCCGCGCCTGCATGCGACGAGGGCTCTTTGCAGGGCCAACGCGCGGACCGAAAGCTACAACACGGACAACTTGATCTTTCAACCTCAGCCGGCCGTTCTTCCCGAACAACATGTTGCGGCTGCTGAGAATTGAATGATGTGGAGTCTCTTGAATAGGGGGCGGATTCGGTCGACACTCTCTTCTTCCCCTGCCTATCCTAACGCAACCTACCCATATATGTGCGGTATTTTTGTTAGCATTTGCCTAGAGAGCGTAACACCCCCTTCCCCCCCCCCCCCCCCCTTCCCCCCCATTCGTTATTTGCACGGTCAATGAAGAGTCACGGCTATGCATCTCTCGACTACGAAAGGCTTCTTTTTGCAAGGCACGGCCTTCGTGCTCTGTTTGCTCCTGTCTGCAACTTTCTCGAGCTGTCGAGATGATGCCCAAGCGCCCTTGCAGGCTGAGTCGCCCAATCCCCTATTTCCATCGCCGGCTGCGGCTACAGCAAAGAGGGTTGCAGTGATTGGTATGTTATTCCCTTCTATGTCTACAAGGCAATAATATATTGACGACGGTTTTTCTATTTACCAAGGTGCCGGGTCTGCTGGTACTTCGACAGCCTACTATCTGCGACAGTATACCAATTTCTTCTCCATCCCACTCAACATCACCGTTTATGAGCGGGCCTCCTACGTTGGCGGTCGATCTACCACCGTCAATCTGTTCGACGACCCTTCCCATCCAATTGAACTTGGGGCATCCATCTTTGTCGAAGTGAACAAAAACCTTATTGGAGCCTCGAAGAAATTTGGCCTCAAATTGAGAGATGCAGACTTTGGACAGCCCAAGGAATCCACCTACAGCTTGGGAGTCTGGGATGGCAAAGAGTTCGCTTTTCTCCAATCGCGAACAGACGCCTATTGGTGGAACGTGTTCAAGCTGCTCTATAGATATGGCTGGGCTCCTATGAAGACACAGAATCTCATGAAGGAGACAGTCAACAAGTTTTTGAAGCTCTACAAGTTCCCCTATTTTCCCTTTCAGTCCTTATCCGACGTGGCAGTGAGCACCGGGCTTGCTGAAGCAGCCTGGACTTCTGGCGCGGAATACTTGAAAGATAATGGTATAGCAGAACTATTTGCCAGGGAGATTATCCAGGCCAGTACACGAGTGAATTATGGCCAGAACCTGGGCTTGATCCATGGCCTCGAGACAATGGTATGCATGGCGACTGATGGAGCTGTCGCTGTGGAAGGGGGCAACTGGCAAATTTTCCAGTCCATGCTCAACGCGTCGAAGGCAACAGTGAGATTAAACTCACCTGTATCTAGCATTAAGCTTTCGGACAATAATACATACACCGTCAGCTATCAGGACGCAGGCGGCGATGGTGGTAATAGTTTTTCTGTCGAGCAAGAAACATTTGATCATGTCGTCATCGCTAACCCATTTCAATTCTCGAATATCTCTTTGTCTCCCCCACCAAAACGGCCGCTTCATTCTCCGCGCTACGTTGACCTGCACGTCACCATTTTTGCCTCCCCCTATAAACTCTCACCGGAATATTTCAAAATGCCCAGCGGCTCCTCAGTCCCCGAAGCTGTTCTCACAACATTGCCCGCCAACGTCAAATTAGGCGCCCGCACTGATGGTGTCGGCCCGGCTCAATTCTGGAGCATCAGCACGCTGAAAAAGGTGGAGGCACCAGCCAAGTTCTCTTCAGGATGGCATTTCAGGTGGCTCTTATTATGTATACAAGGTTTTCTCGCCAAAGCCGCTGAAGGCAAATTTTGTATCTGACATTCTCGGAATCGACGAGGCACGTATGTTCGACAACAGCAGTAGCAGCAGCAGCGGCAGTGAAACCAGCTATACTGCGGACCAGCGCATAGCGGATATCTCCAAGTCTCACATCAGCTGGTACTATGAGAAAGTGTGGCAGTCGTACCCATACCTGTACCCGCGGGTGACGTTTGAAGATATAAAACTGGCGCCTAATCTATGGTATACCAACGGGATGGAGAGCTTTATATCGACGATGGAGACTAGTTCGTTATCTGGGATGAATGTTGCCGGGTTGATATTGTCTGAGTGGGTTTCAAAGTTTGAGACGAAGCTGAAGAAGTTCGAGGACGGCCTTGGGCTCTAAACTTTTGTTCTATTTCGCTTCGTCTCGTCTTTTTCGCCAGGATTTGGAGTGTACGGGGTTGCAGGAACGGGAAAGACATCAAGGTGTTTTCTTCAGTTCACGGTTAATAATGATTTCTTTCTCTTTGTTTTGGGGAGAGGGGTTTTCTGGGGCGATGTCTTTCATTTGTCGTTGTTGTAGCGGATGTCATCCTTGGTTAGTTGTTATATTTATTATTAGATCTGGCCCTATGATCCACTTTTCCTTTCGACGCTCCCTTGGCATAGCCGGGGTGACGAAAGGCGTTGGATCACCTGAAATCGTCACCATCATTATCACCGTTACCACTATCACTGGCATTCATGACCATTATTACCATCCATGACCAAAGACCAAAGAAGACCAAAGCAGACCAACAAATCCTCCCCGCAAGACTTCTTTCCAGAAACGGCAACTGACGTCTCGGGACGCAGGCGGAATTACATAAGCCAGCCGCCTGACTGCCGCTCGTGCGCAAACTGCTTGGCGGCGCGGCTCCGCTTTTTGCCCGGAGGCTCTGTGGGACCTGGACAGCTCCGACTTCGATCCAACCAACGACTCAACGACGGCGTCCTGCGTTTCACGACTTCACCCCATCTTGCATCTCCTGTCCTCTTGGTCCAGCGATGGATGCTTCTCCCCCCCCTCTCCGCCTTGCCTCCGCCTTGCTGATTCGTTAGAGCTAGTTGGCTAGATACCGGGATAGAAACCCAAGCTGGTGCTGTTCTACCCGATCCGTTAGTTCCCGTCTTGCACTTGGAAAAGCAAACAGGCATTTTGTCGGTGACCCGCGAATAATACCACTCGTTGTTGGCTCATTTTATTTCTTTTTTATTTCTTTTCTTTCTTTCTGTTTTTTGTGTGGATGTGCAATGGTTATTCCTTTTTGATGTTTAAATGATACCCGTCAGTTTAAGCTACGCTCAGCGACTAGTTAGGTTTTTTTTTTTTTTTTTTTTTTTTTTGGCCCAGCTCGGCTCTTATTCTTTACTTTTCAAATTACCGTTGTCTTCAAGCTCGGTGTCTGCCTAAGCGCACAAGTAAGCTTTCATCCTGCCTCGATTTCCCCATATATCTCCACATTACCACACTTGGCTATCTCTCTTTTTCCGAAAACCAAGAACGGAGCTTGCACACCTTTCGCAAGGTTCCTCCTGTTTCTTTCTCATTTATTGTTCCTTTGTTGCTAAATTCAACTGTCGACTCATGTATCCGCTAGGGCATAAATCTAACCCGTCACCCAGCAGTCTTACGTTTGACATCACGTTCCCTTTCGGTCACTAGGTCACTTGCTCGATAAACCCACAACCCTCCCGTCTTATCTTTGATACATCATAACAGCTTTCAACCTTATCTGCAATCATGCCTCCTGACGACGAATCGAGAACTGCAGGGTCCAGTAGCAGTTCGAAACCTCATCTCGCGTCCACGTACCGTCTCCCACAGAGCCATATCCCTGACCGATTAAGAATGGGCGATGATGAACATGAGGATATGACCGCTCCGCCTGCAGGCACAGCTGGTCGTGGAGGGAGGGCCCCATATATGCACCAGTCCGTCTTCTCCATGATCGCTGCCGCGAGCTCTAAAAACGATTTCCACAACCGTTTCGATGAATCTAGCGATGCGGAAGATGAGGATGCGGATGCGGCCCGGCTGTCCAAGGACCGCTTCTTATCGAATGATGGTGTCGATGGTCGTCGTGATGGTAGTGCTTCAACTAGCCATCTTCTGAATATCGCTAAGCGGGACAAGTCATCCGTACCCAACGCAGTGGAGGACCGTGGTCGACCGCATCATCGGAAGAGACTTTCGGAAAACAAGTTTTTGAAGTCCCTAGCGAAACTACCACATAGGGGTAATAAAGGCAAGGTGCCAGCACCTGAACCGGAACCGGAACTCGATCCAACAGTTACAAGCGAGCCGTCCTCGACCAAAGCTGTACGGCTGGTGGCCGCTACGGAGGCTCCAGTCCTGAGCCGCATGCTCGACGCACAGTCTCGCTTTGGCGAATCTGAACCGCTGCTTAACCCGACAGAACTTCCAGGGAAACCTTGTTGTCAACGAAAGGAATTGTCGCCTTCATCCCTACTTTCCGCGCGACTCATGGATATTTTTGGATTTGATAGACCGGAAAAGGTCATATCAGAATATCAATGCTGGTTGCTCCAGAGTGTGTTGCTTCAGGGATATATGTATATCACCGAAAAGCATATCAGCTTCTACGCCTACCTTCCGAAAAAGCCCCATACCATCATCAAATCAGGTTATCTCTCGAAGCGAGGACGCCAAAATCCGAAGTACAATCGGTACTGGGTTGCCCTCAAAGAGGATGTATTATCCTATTATATGGATCCTTCAAACTTGTATTTTCCAAGTGGTCATGTCGACCTACGTTATGGGATATCCGCCAATCTCGCAGAACAGAAGGATAAGGATAAAGATACAGATAACAACGTAAAGGATTTCACCATCACGACAAACAATCGAATATACCAGTTTCGGGCCGATAGTGCGACGAGCGCGAGGGAATGGGTGAAGACCTTACAGAAGGTTATCTTCAGGTCCCATAACGACGGTGATAGCGTTAAAATCTCATTGCCGATCGAGAATGTTATAGACATAGAGGAGAATCCTGTCATTGACTTTGCGCATACGTTCAAAATCCGTGTTGTTGAAAGCGGCGAAAGTTATGCTATTGATGAGGTAAAATTAAACCCGCGTCCCTGAACGAAATATATATATATATATATATAAGTATCCTGGATTAGTTTACGCTAACACTTTTGTGTCACTGTAGTATTTCTTTTCGTTTTTTGAATGTGGCAAGGAGGCAATTGAAGTTTTGAAAAAAATGGCCAATCATACCCCAGCGCAGCATATTCAACAAGCTATGCTTGCTCCTGATGGTGGCCATATCTCCGGGTGTCGTCGCTCTCACTCGGTCGATGTTATTTCACATTCGTCCACTCATGAAACAACGTTACTAGCCGAGGCCGTCAAAGCCACCCTGCGGCCGCTATCTCCTCTTGATAGTCAGTATGGAAGTCCTAAGCAGAGTCAGGATCTTCCGAGATCCCATTTTCGTACGTTTAGCCGTGGTAGGAGACTGCATAGCCGTGAATGCAGTGAGGCAGGGCTTGAACAAAAGAGGAGCGATAGTACAAACAGAGCAAGTGTTGGGGACAATCAAGATGAAAGATCTGCTGGGGGTAAACTGCAGAATTCTTCGGATTCGTTTGTTCAGTCGTTAGAACATGCCACGGAATCTTCTGCCATTTTACAGTCTACAAGCGGGACAGTAGAGTCTGCAAGTCAGATTTTGAACAGGAGCGATGTATTTCGGTCGCCCACCATTCACAGGCTACAAAATTCATTGTCTGGATCTGGGGAAGCGCCCCGACGCCATTCTGAGGATACCGCTCGTTTTCCTCCCACATCCGCCGATCTTCTACCTTTAAGAACACAGACGACACAGTCGCTTATGAAACAGGCCCAACAAGATGCTGGTAGTGACTCTGAACATGATTTTCAGCTTCGAAGCGTAGCGCCTTCTGCGTCATCACCAACTCTTCAGGAACTTATGAAGGCCGGTTCCTATCCGTTACAACGTGCGGCAGGGTTCGCTGGATATCTCAGAAACCGATCGAAGCACATGAGCAACCTTCTTGCAACCGAGTCAATGGGGTACTTTGAAAAAGTGTCTGGTATGTGGATAGGTGGAAAGAGACACTATGGTGACGGCGAAACTATCCTCTCTGAAGACAAAATGGTCGATCCAGAAGATGAAGAACAGGGATGCGAACATGGTGATAGATTTCGCACCCACTTCGCCCTGCCTCCATCGGAAAAGCTACAAGCTACATACTTCGCATATCTCCATCGGGTCATTCCGCTTTACGGTAAGTTATACATCAGCAATCGGGAAATTTTGTTTTCGGAGTCTGCTTCCAGGTACACGAACCAAGATGATCCTACCACTAAAAGACATAGAAAATGTCGAGAAAGAGAAGGGCTTTCGGTTTGGGTATCATGGGCTTGTTGTTATTATTAGTGGTCACGAAGAATTGTTCTTTGAATTCAATACCGCTCGATGCACGAGACGACTGTGCAGTTACTTTGCATCAAAATCTGCGAGTCTATTCGATACCTAGTTGAGTCCGGCTTGCTGGCACAGCAGGAGCGAGAGGAGGCTGATGCAGCAATGGCCGAGCACCAAATGCTGTAAGAAGCAAGGCTCGAAGGTATGGATGCACAGCAAAGCTCCCCAACATTATCTGCATCTGTGCTATTGTCGTCCACAAGCTCGCCCATTCTCTTTGACGATCCACGTGTTTCCATTGTGCAACTTCAAGCCGCAGGAGGCATTGAGGATTACATGTCTTACTATCGGCTCCCGAGGTGATGTCCAGTCCATACATTGCTCTCTGTAAAGGGTCTAATG